ATAACATATACCAGAATCTCTGATGATTATTATACTAAATACTCTTACTCAGCTGCTTCCTATATTTAATGCACACATAGTGTAGAAAATTTGGAGTCCCACAAATGTTTTCAGACATTTTGGGGAATATCTTTACAGTTTGGAATATCTTTGCAGTTTTTCGATGATTACATAATTCTAAATTATTTACCAAAATGGACAGTGTACTTTTTTGAAACTGCTTTTTTAAAACAATAATACAATTTACCGTATCAGTAGCCTATCTTTTACAACATTGTTTAATAATTGTATAGAATTTCCCTTTGTGGGTTATCATAGTTCACACATAAATTTGTATTTTCACATGAAATGTCCTGTTTTCAACATTGGTTATGTTAAATTTTGTTTTAATCTGATAACAAACTATTGTACTTCAGTATCTTTGGATATGTCTTATAAAAAAAAATTGAAGCAGGGCCTAAATCTTTTAAGGCATTGAAACATTTTGTAAGTGTCTTGCCTAAGGGCTAGGCCAATTAATATAATCCCCCTCAGTGATATTTGACTGACTTTCTTTGCATGCGCTGACATTTAAGTCTGTGCCAATTCAAGAGGATAGATTTCATTTCTTTTGTTTTAGTATGCTTATAATAAAACTGAATAATTCAAAAATATATAGGACAAAAGGATAAAGTGCTCTATTTTCTCCTCACCTGTGTACCTCCAAACCATTTCAGCTGTTTGGGGTGGATTTGTTTTCACATTTTCTCTTTTTACATATACACTGTGTATGTATACAAAGTGTATACACTTGCTTACAGGCTTGTATGTGACTTGTAGGTTTTGTGTCATGCTTACAAAGGCTTTACTCAAAATTATAAAATATGCTGTTAAACTTTTTATCCTAGTATTTTTATGGTTTCTTCTTTGCATATTTAACTCTCTAATTTACCTTCTTTTTGGCATCTTGTACTTTAAGAAGAGATAATTTAGCAAAGGTAAAAATTACTTGTTTTTTCCCAGTTAAAAAATTACCCCAAAACTTGGTGATTTGAAAGAATTTTTAAGCACATGACTTCTGTGAGTCAGGAATTTGGAGAGCTCCTTGACTGTAAGAGTCAAAAAGTGAAGAGGTTGGCACATCTAGGTTTCTTTGGGCACATCTTTATACTTTTTGTGCCTCACCATGCAGTCTCTCCTGTATTGGTGACTTAAGGGTAGCCTGCCTTACTCCCAAGGGAAAGCAGAACATGAGTATCAAAAAAGAGATTAAGACTAATAGACACAGATGGACAAATGGTGTCTGCATTCTTTTGATTTAACCTCAGAAGTACTTAATGTCACTTCTGCCACCTTCTGTTGATTAAAGCAGTTGCAAATATTTGCAGAACCTCACTGTCAGAAGAACTCTTTAGATATATCTAGAGCTCTTGTTGGAAAAATACAAGCAAGTGCATCTTCCCCCCATTTATACACCCAGTTTTCCAGGAATATAATTGTTTAAAATGTATATATATAAAAGGGGTATACCTGTATTTCAGTATTAAAATCTGTGAATTAAAAAAAAATCATATTGTGATTCTTGGCATTTCTCATTAAAAATTACAATTTTATGAAAATTTAATATTTGGTGTAGTTGTCTTTATGTTGTAAAAGACTGACGCATATGATTCTAGGGAATGCTGGTAGTTTTTGAGTTATGTACCTATAAATCTGTATTTTAGTATACATTGTTTAGACCATGGTATCATTTTATTTGACTGTGATTGCTAATTTTCATGATTGATGCAGTTGAACTTAATTAGCCTTAGGGTAGTATATATTATTATCAAGTGATGAGAGGTAGTGGATGATCTGCTGGTATGTAGGCTCTCTCACATGGCAGTTGTGTCCACTGTTGCTTCTCTGGTGTGAAAACAATCAAAAGAGGTTGAGGAGACATGTGTAGCTTCGTGGAAGTCACAAGCTTTGAGAAAAAAACCTGAGATAAAATAGTAAAAGACTGGACATAAAGAAGGTAGATAATTTTTCTAAAATGGGATAGAGCACACATGAATAATTGAATGCCCTCTATATGCAGTCTCTGAGAAACTAAGTTCTTTATTTCCATGTAAGTATTTCAGATTTTCCAGAGATAGATGATGACTCTGATGTCTACATTATTTAAACAGGTGACTAATATACTTAATATTAATCTCTGTTAGGATTGAGTGCGATATAATTCTTTAATTTGCATCTATTTTAAGACGTTGAAGTGTGTTATCTCTATTAGATTCACAATGTCCCTTTTCCCTGTCTTAGTCTGCTTGGGCTATCATAACAAATTTCCATAGACAGGCTGACTTAAGCAGCAGGGATTTCTCACAATTTTGGAGGCTAATTTTGGAGTCTCCCTGGCAAAGAGAACAAGAGAGTAAGCCAAGGTAGGAGACAAGACATCGCTAGTCTCTGTTCCTCTTAGGAGGATACTAATTCCATCATGGATTGCAATCCATATTACCTCAACTAAATTTAATGACCACCCAAAGACCTTACCTCTAAATACCATCAACTGGGGGAACTGGATTTAGGGTGTCAACATATGAATTTTAGGGGGGACACATTTAATTCATATCATATATTGAAAAGGAAGTATTTTCTCAATTTATAAATGAGACTCTTGGTCCTAGAGAATTAATATAACTCATGTCTTAAATTACATATCCGTGTTTTTACCATTTGATTTGACAGTTTAAATAGATAGGTCAGAAGTCATGTTTTGTTATTTCCTAGTCTGACTCTGTAATTTATGTCTAAGTCTCTGACTTTATTTTATATTCCTACCAAACAAGAAAAGCTACTCCTGATTCACCGAGCATATGGTGTGTTCTCAGATTTCTTTTTTCTGTGTTTGAAATATTAGGTTTACTATGAAATGTCCTGATTCTTTTTTTCCATTTAGTTTGTTAGGTGATTCTTTCTATTAATAGAGACTTGGACTTAACTTTTGTAAAGTAGCATTTTATTTACTTTTTATTGTTGGCTCACTTTCTGTTTTTTGAATAGAGTAGTTCTCGATTTCAGATTATTGGACTCTGTCTACTCCCAAATATAACTTATATGTAGGTAGTTGCTTTCTCTTAAATGTTTTCATTTATCTTTTTTGGTCAGGCTACCTTCTAGAAAGTAGATATAGAATGGTTTTTTCATAACACATAGCCACTAAATCCTAAATATCTGTACTATGTTACTCCCCTTCCACTGTCATTATCCTGACTTAAACTACAATTATCTCACACGGACTGCTGTAGAAACGTCTTGTGACTGAACTGCCTTTCTTTAGCCACTTTCACTTTTTTCTTGTTTTCCATACTATAGTAAGAGAGATACTTGAAAGTCTCAGAGACTGCCCACAGTATGAGTAAGTTACTGAATAAGTCAGAAGGTACAAATGTTCATTGTCTTTTTCCCTTGCAGTCAAGCGTTGGTGTGGTAAGAGATGCAGAAGAATTGCACACAAAACCTACTTGGTGTTGGCTGTTATGCTCTTTTGTAGATTACTAGGCATTCCCGCTTCCTTCAAGTGTTATTCCCCTCTCCCTTCCTGCTTTTTCACTTCTTAACCATCTTAGCTCAGTTGCAGGTTTGTCATCATGTTTTACTCTTTATTTAGAGTCTGGTTACTTACAGGATTTTTAAACCTGACATGAGTTATATACGATTCTACCCTTATCAGGAAGTAACAATAGTATTTTATAGTATGTTAGTTCTAGTAGAGCTTAATAATAATGTTACTACTTTTGAATTTCAGTTCTTAACTTAGACAGCATATACTTACTTGACTCTTAGGACAGTCCTCTTATAAAAAAGAACATCTGCTTCTAAAGGAAACTGAGATTTTGAGAACTAAATTGATTACTTTTATAATAATTACAGAAAATAGAGAATAATGTGTTGAACTCCTTCCCTGTAGCCAAGTTTCAACATGAGCAGTATTGTTTCATCTAAAGCCCATATTATGCCCCCTTTGTTTCCCCACCACTTATTTTGATGTAAATACTGTAATTTTATATGTAAATGCTTCAGATAAAATAACCTTGCTTAGTGTGTAAAATTAGCTTTTAACAGAGCCAGAACTTGAATCAAGGAGGATATCCCTGTCGTATGGGCAGCATAGCTCTTGTTTTAGTTCTCTGTTGGACTTGACCTTTTAGCATATATTCAGAAATAGTGACACTGATGTTTAGAGGTCATTCAGATGAAACTACTGGTTTTACTTGTCGAACAAATGATCTTCCTTCACAGAATAGCAAAGGAACTTTATCCTGAAGTGTTATTATCCTAAATATCAGTTATTGTCAGTATTTTATAGTGGTGGCTTTTATAGTTCTGATATCTATCTAGTCCATTTATGTGAATGCTTTTTATGGAGGTCATATTACCAAGTATTTACTTCCTTTTGCAGAGTTTATTACTTCTTGTTGCTTAAGGAAAAACAAACTCAAATACAGTGTATTGTTTTCCTTTTAACTGGGAAACTTGCCTGCTAATCATTTTCTGAAGCTTATTGTTTGTGGGAAAAAAGTTGTTGTTGCCTGAGAGTTATTTCTTAAATGATAGTTTGTTTTCATGGTATCATGAGAATAAAATAGTCTTCTGGAGTAAAGTTTTACCTACAGAATAGGTTGAAATTACACAAAAGATTTTTAAATGTGTGAAATCTGAAACATCTACATGGTGGTAATAGTTTCTTTCTTTGTCTAGTTTGAACTTAGGTTTCAGTTTGTGGATGAGAGGGTGGAAAGTACTATTGACAAATGTTCTCATTAATGAGAAAAGGGGTAGAAAGTGTTTAGACTATAATTTGTCTGGTAAAATACTTGATACTTAGTCTTGAAGCTATATATGGTTCATTTGAAATATTATCTCCTACTTTAAAAGAAAAAAACAACTTGGCTGCATCCTTGTGTTTTCCCCCAGGGAGTAATATGCAAGTGTATAATAGTTATAATTAATATAAGCATGTATCCTTGTTTTAATAGGCATTAAGCATGATGGAACCATGTGTGATACCTGCCGCCAGCAACCAATCATTGGAATTCGATGGAAATGTGCAGAGTGTACAAATTATGACTTGTGCACAGTTTGTTACCATGGAGATAAACATCACTTAAGGCATCGCTTTTATAGAATTACCACACCAGGAAGTGAACGGTAGGGAAAATAATTTATTTCTCCTGCTAAAATTTCTTGTTTGTATTCAGTTTTTATTCTTATTAGCGTTAAAATTAGAATTTGGAAATAACTTCTGACAGTTACTTTATACTAGGAGGTAACAGATAAGCAGGTAGATGTGGACCGGCCTTAAGTAGTGAAAAAGAGCTATGTGAAAGTTGGGTTGTATATATTTTTCAAACATAATCTGGACTATTCTTTCTTTTGCAGAAACTTGGCACTACTTAATGTTTGGAAGTGCACGGGCAGCCCAAGAGAGGCTGATATTTTCTTCACATTATGCATTTTATTTTACTAATTGTTACTGGGTGAACACCAGGGCCCATTAGTTAAATCAATAGGTGCTTATTAAGACTAGCAGCTACTGTATTTGTGCCAATTTGAACATAGGTAAGATATATTTTTTTCTTAAGGCCTTTACAAGTTAAGGGATTATTTGATCAACAGTGGTTATCATGTGATCAGTTCTTTTTTTTTTTTTTAAGATTTATTTGTGTATTCAAGAGCTGGGGTATAGGCCAGAGATACCATGTCTGTGTGTGTGTGTGTGTGTGTGTGTGTGTAGGGGGGGGTGGGCAATGAGGATGAGCATTCGCCAGAGACAGAGTGGGGAACAGAACAAGGATAGTGACTGAAATGCACTGCTGAGGGGAGCAGTAGGTGAGACCAGAGAGGTCAATGATATGCATAATGATTAGCCATATGAGTTAGCTCCCTGCTGGGATCAGTCTCTGGCTGCAGTGGCTTCATAATGCTGGGTTTTAACCCCTTGCGCTACCAGGGAGGTCCCTCATAGCATCTTTTGAGTTGTATGTGGATATATGTGTTAAGTTTCTTGGGAGCAAAGGGAAAGGAGGGCTAATTGTGAATGGGCACAGTATTTTAGGTGGCTGCATCTTGTGTAGACAAGGATAATGCAAAAGAGCAATCTTTCCTTTCTTTGGGAGGCATTTCCTGGAGTGGTAAAAAATGGATTTAGGTATTAGACTGTTTTGACTCAAATCCTGTTCCTGCCATTTATTAACTGAGTAACTTTGATCAAGTTATTTTTCTGTCTTGCTTACAATTTTTAAAGTTAGGGCATAACAAGGGCACTCTGAAAGTGAATAGAATAAGATAACGTTAAAAAAACAAAAAAGCTTAACTATTTTTATTTTATGAATAAGAAGGATGTAGAAGGATAAGAAATATATGTCTCTTGGTGAACCAAATTGGTCTAGTAGTTGAGTGTAGAGACTTTTTCAAGGTCCAGAGTCTTCTGGAATTATATAACAATTTGGAGACAGACTAGTATAGGTCAAATCTAGGCTACAGATATCTTTACTTAGGATACACAGTGCTCTAAATTCTTTAATGATTACGAATCTTTTAAATTAGGTGCTTTCACACAAAAATCTAAGTTTGTTTAAAAAATATATGCATGCATAATCATTAGAAGACTGTCAACATTAGGTGTGGATTTGTTTTTGGTAACAGTTGACTGAAGGAGTGCCAGCCCTCTTTAGATAAATCATGCTCTTGAGTTTACCACAGTCCTTCTATGCCCTGTTGTCTTCCTAAAACTGAAATCAGCTGCTACTTACCATTTGTCATTGCTGTTGTACTGTCTTTCTTAGACCCTCATTTATTTTTGTAGGGTTTTGGGTTTGCTGTCTCTATGTTAGTGATAAATATGGTGATGCCCTGAAGTGATTAGTTTAGGTTCATATACTGACTCTGCTACTATTTACCTTTTATCATTTTTGGTAAATTAATTACTGCTTTTTTTCCCTTAAAGGGTATAGCATAATTCATACCTGTGTTTAGTACTTTGTAAAAGTTCAATACATATTAGATGTTATTAGTATCCCAACTATTACTGCCATCATCATTACCTGTTGAATGTAAGATGTATTCCTTTATTAGAACAAAGAAAATCTATTTTCAAAAAGACAAGCTTGCTTAAAAAATAAATTATGAAGATATGAAACAACCTGTGTCCATTGGTGGATAAAGAGAATGTGGAATATTATTTAGCCATAAAAAGCAAATATTGTCATTTGTGACAACATTGAGGGTGTTAGGCCAAGTGGAGTAAGTCAGAGAGAGACAAATACTGTGTGGTCTCTTATACATGGACTCTAAATGCAACAACCTCCACCCCCCAAAAAGGGCCAAAACCTACCAAAAAATAAACAGATTTGAATTGATGATACAGAGATGGTTGTCAGAGATGGGGAGCACGTGGGGTAGAGCAAAACTGATGAAGGTTCAAGTATATTTATAAAATAAATCATAGGGGTGTAATATGTAGCATAGTGATTATTGTTAATACTGTATTGCATTTTTGAAAGGTGCTGAAAGTGGATTTTAAAAATTCTCATCATAAGGAAAAAGTTTTCTAACTATATTATTAGCCTTGTAGTTAATAAGACTTATTGTGATGATCATTTAGCAGTATATGGAACTATCAACTCTGTACATCTGACTGTACTAACATAACTTGATGTGTCAAATTATAGCACAATAAACAAATTACTGTCACCTATTTTTATATACATTTGAAAATCATTACTTTTAGGGTTCTGTTAGAGTCTCGTAGAAAATCTAAGAAGATTACAGCCAGAGGGATCTTTGCAGGTGCCAGAGTGGTACGAGGCGTGGACTGGCAGTGGGAAGATCAGGATGGAGGAAATGGGCGGAGAGGAAAAGTAAGATTTTTTTAAAAAAAATTTATCATGTTATTCTACAATATTGTATGTTCAGGAGATTTTTATTACTACTATAACTATTTCTTGCTCATTTTTTTTTCAATGCCAATAATAACTTTTGAGACTTTTATTTCTTTAAAAAAACAAAAACAAAAACAAGACATCTCCTGCTTTGTTGTGAATGTTGGAATTCCTTGAGAAGGTTGTTAAGTAGATTTTACCTTTCCACCTGTAGGCTTCATATTGCCATTTTGTTGCTCAGAACATCCTGAACCTCCTGTTTGGGCCAATTCTTCCTATGCCATATCTTTCTTGCTATTAAAATTGCATTTGAATTTACTTGCCTTTGATTCTTTTTAAACTTGTTTTATATTCTGTCCCCTCAAAGAACTATTTCTGAAGAGTAATAGGCAGCTACTTTGTTATCTAATTCACTCAGTTTGTTGTTTGCTTCTCAGGTAGCAGTTACTCTGAAGGAAATTTTGGATAGCCTGTTTACCAGGGATGGATATCAGGCTAAGTGGGTTATTGATTTTATTTGAATTTAGTATTGCTTCTGTTAATTATTCATTTATATATTCAGTGAACATATATTGACTGTTTATACTCTGGCTTACGATAGATGCTAGATGTATTGAAATGAGTAACATTTCACGTTTGAAATATATGTCTCTGTCTGTTCTATTTTTTTCCTTCGTAAAAATTTTTTTTCCACTGCTGTGACATTTATCACCATTTATTTTATAGTGACTTTGTTCCCAGGAGATATATTTTTGTTTATTCAATTTCTTCTGGAGTCTCTCTTTTCCTTTGCAACCTTCTCTTCCAGTATAGGAACAATTTGTTCTTTATGTAAGAATCATCTCGGTGTGGCAGGGAGAGCACATACATGGGTTAAGGTAACCATGAACTTTTATTAAGTTCTGTGACATATCTTGGGGACTTTTGTTCATCTGGTTGCACTTGATGACCAGGGACTCTACATCTAAATCCTTAAGTTCAGCATTACTCTTGGCATTGCACATTTTTAAGCACATGCAATAACAAGTCAGCGCTCTTTTTGGGCCAATGACTGCATCTAGCTTCACTGGTTGGCCTGGGCACACTTGCTAACTCCACCACTGTAATGAGGGGAGCAGTGGGCAAGACAGGAGAGGTCTGCTGCGTCATTTGAGGAACTTTTTATAAGAATTTGAAAACTTCTTTTGTATAGACTTAGTGCTGTATAGATTCTTTTCAATTTAAAAATCTTAAATGTTTTTTTCCAAGTAGATGTTTTATTATTTCAGTGTTTTACTTCATTTGTAATAAGTCTAATTTAAAGTTTGAAATCAGACAGATGTAATTTAACTATTTCAAGTGCTTTCATTTTAATTAAGAAAGCAAATTCTTAAAAAAAGTTTAATACTTATTTAAACACCATGTGCAGGATTTTGTTCTTATCATCAGTGATTTAGCAGTAAACAAAAGGGACAAAGTCTCTCCTCTCCTGAATCCTCTCTTCTAATTGGAAGTGATAGGCAAACAAAAAATAAAAATGTAAATTTTGTCACTGTAGTGTGACCTGTAGACCAGTGGTTCTGGGTGTCACCTGACAGCCAATTGGAAATGTAATATATCACCTTCCTCCCAGGCATTCTAAATCAGGATCTTCATCGTAACAGAACCTCTAGGTCATTTATATGCACTTTAAAGTTTAGAAGCTCTGCTCTAATGAGAAAAATAGAGCTCTGTGAATTTAGAAAAGTTGCCACCTTTAGATTAATGGATAATTCAGGAGACATGCTAGCCTAGCCAATGGCAGAGAAAAGGTACCTATTTGGAGCTTAGGGAAAGAATAATTTTGCTCTTCGCATAGTCTTGGTAAGTAAAACTCAATGTCAGCCCCTATAGTTTCTTAGCAGTGTTCCTTGTGCAGTGTACACTTTCTGCTAACTTTTACAAGTCTTGTATCAGCAACAATGTTTGTGAAAGTGTAGACAGTAGTAATAAAATGAATACTTTCTACAATGTGTATTAAAAATTAGAATATTATAAGTATCTTCAGAATTCTTCTGTTTTCCTTCTCCTTTATCGCTAGCTTTATGTGAGAAAATTTTTCCCGTCAGTGAGATGTCTGTTTATTTTTTGTAATGTCTCTTTTGCTGTACAGAACTCTTTAACTTGATGTAGTCCCATCTATTTATCCTTGCCTTCACTATCGTTGCATTGGGCTCTGTATCTTCAAAGATGTTACTGAAGTATTTTGATATATTTTTAAGTACTTGTTGAAGAAACCATCTTCTTTGGATTTGACTAAATGATTCTTTATGGTGTACTTAACTTTTTCCTTTAACCCCTTGTACTATCTATAATTTAGTTTTTAGATGTGTAGGCTTGTTTCAAGTTCCATTTTATTTTGGCAAGAGGAATTGGTAAGTTTCACTGAAGTATGATTTTATGACTATTTGTGGTATAAAGAACAAAATGGATGCAGATTTTGTCAGTTTGATCCCATATACAGTTTCTCAGCAACCTTTTACCGTTATTTTGCATGCATTTTAAAATCAGTACTGAAAGTATAAAAATAATGTGAATTTGATTGAAGTAAAATTCAGTCTATTTTTTATTCAGTTGCTTCTTTTTGTGTCCTCTTATAAAACAGAAACAGAGCAGGCATTGAATTTCTTAGAACGACTTAGTTATAATCTGTGTATGTTAGAATCAGAAGGAATTTTTTGTTAGTGATTGCTTGTTTCATTTTAGAATTTGGTGGCTCTTATTTTGTAAGCTGCTACTATGGTTAGTTATGTAAAATTTCATAAAGTAAAGCAAACCAAGCAGAGTGATGGGCTCTAAATTCAGGGTGGTAGTTGTCTGTAGGGAGGAAGGAAGATGGAATTGATGAGAGCACTACAGGCAACTTGAAAAGTGCTGGTAATGTTATTTTTCTCAGGTTGTTGTTCATTTATTTTTTATTATTCTTCAAAGTTTGCATGTCATTTAACTTAAAAAAGAATTAAGTTAAATTATAAATAATAATTGGTCTCATTACCATTTTAAACTTTCTCAAACTATTATATCTACAGCAAAAGAATCTTTCATCTCTTCAAAACACCATGAAATTAATAAATTTATAAAATATTTCCTTAGGGCAGAGTAAATATAAAAGTGTTATTACATATTTCATTTCAAATAATCTGTTTTTAAGATCATGCTTTAAAAGTTATATTTAACATCAGCCTGGCATTCTAGGTAACTATGAAATGTGACTAATTGTAAGTGTCAAGGTAGAGAAAAGTTACTTCTGTTAACCTGTGTAATGGTGCTTGAGAATACCCAAATTTAGTATGTCATTTTATATGGTCAATTTTGGGCTCTTAAGCAGTAGCTAATCTATTTTTTAAATCAAATGAGCTTAAGAATCAGTTTGACTGTATGTGGGGCCTTGGGTTCTTTCTGGGTATCTTTTGTAGACATGATGTTTTAGCATTGGTAGCCTGCTTTTCAGGATAACTGAGGGTAAAAATCAAGTCCTCTTTAAACACTGCCCGAGGAGCTTGTTCAGAGGTTTGCACTTGTCAGACTTTAGCTGACCAAATTGCAGATCTATCTTGATTTATTCTGGAAATTTGGCCTAATATTTTTTATTTTGTATTGAATAATGGATTTAAAAGAATACACTGTTCTTAAAAGATGTACTTTCAGAGCACAGGATTTAAACATTTATTGAATTATACATTTCCCAATAATCTAATATTGTAATTACTGTCTCCCAATTTAAAGTTTCTATAGTAATGTCCCATTATAGTTCAGTTATCTGTTGGAAAGACATATTTGTTAAATAAATTCTTGACATGATTTTGAAACATGGGATGATAATTTTTGAGATTTCAGTATAAATAAAATATTAAACCTTCCTCTTTAAAAAAGCTGTTTTCTTAAAAATTTTTACTAGGTAACAGAAATTCAAGACTGGAGTGCATCAAGTCCACATAGTGCAGCATATGTTCTCTGGGATAATGGTGCTAAGAACCTTTACAGAGTTGGCTTTGAGGGAATGGTAAGTAGAAACAACCACACACACACACACAGAGTATTGGGTGAATGAAAGAAGGGAAGTAAAAATAAAATAAAAGTAGCCCTTACTGTGGTCTTTTTTTAATTACATCATCTCCTTTTGACAGAACACATCTGTATCATAAATATGCAATAAGAAGGAAAATCTATAAAGTGAGAATTTAATACATCTTATTTTTGCTATGTTTGCTTAGACTGTTTAGTAGTAAGTAAGATTTTGCTTTTAGTTAATGTTTGGGTACCTTACTATGTGTTGATTATACAGAGGTGATCTCCTATTAGTGTAATTTGGTGCTTTATTTGTTAAAATCTATCAAAAAGGTTTAGTATCTATAAGGCTGCTTGTTAGCATGGACATTACGTAGTGAGATTGTGGATTTTTTCCCCCCTTCTGTTGTTGCAACAAGCAATGTTGAGCGTCCTTGTGCACATGTCTTTGTACATTTTAGGATATACTTCCTTAGATTCCTTTATGTGGAATTGATGTGTTTGACCTTTGTGTCTCTTTAGTTGTGATTGAGCTAAATGTAATGTAAAGGAGGTTATGAGTTAGATTCTCTGTGTATGTGTTACGCATGTGTGTGTATTTGTGTTGTTAGTATATATAAAAGAGCTTCTTTCTTTAATAGAGTAAGTATGTGCCTATCACCTACTTTATACATTTATATATGCTCCTACCCTCATACACATGCATGTTTATGTTAGTTACTGTTAGGTGCTTTTAAGTAAACCTGCTTCTGAATTTTCAGGATTAGCCCTTATGATTGCTCTCCTAAGTATACATTTTTATGTGCCTTTCATTATGTCACAATTGCCTCCCCTTTCAGGTACTTAAGTAATAATTCATTTTCTTATAAAATCTTACAAGAAACTTAAGTTATTCAAGTTATGGTGAAGCAGGAACAAAGTTAATGTAAATGGAAAAATTAACTGAACAAGAAATCAAAAATTTGCATTAGTTATATTTTTTTCTATATTTTGGTTGTTTAATTTTAGGTAATTTGCTTTATAAAATAACTTCATATATGCCTTATATATGAAGATGAATAGAAAGATGAAATTGAGTTTTTTATTTGGTTAAAGTGTCTTCAAAATGAAACGTGTATTATAGATATTTAAATACTAGGTATTGTAGTCCTTTTATTTAGTATGTGCTTCTGAAAATACTCTAATAAAGATCCAGATATTTTAATTTTCAGCTTTAAAGGAAAACCAAAAATAATTAAAACCTGATATAGCTGCAGATAATTTTTGATGAGTGCTTTGAAAGCAATAATTAGTATGATTGCTGATCCAGGGCTACTTGTGACTTCTGCTGAGGGTATGCTCTAAAGGAACATTTTTATGTGTTCTAGGTATTGAGCCATACTGAAGTTTTCATGGGTGACTTTTTTGGTTTCTTTTTCTTCTTAGTCTGATCTGAAGTGTGTCCAGGATGCGAAAGGAGGCTCTTTCTACAGAGATCACTGTCCTGTGTTAGGTGAGTTAGCAGACTAGAGAAAATTGCTAGCTAATGAATCAGACTTCATGAAATCAGAAAAATGTTTAAATTTGATTTTTAAGAAGTTAGTTATGGTTAGAATTCTATAAGTAGTTTCTGGTTTTAAGGCTTTCACTCCTTTTATACTTATTTTTTTTGAAGATTTGTAGTTTTATTATAATAGTTTCATTGAGATACACACATATATTTAATTTTTATATTTAAATAAATATAGAACATTTACATATTTAATTTCCACTTTTGAAATTAGAAGATGAAACACAGTTAAGTTTTATAACAGAAGAAAAATACAGAAGACAAAAATACTTAACAGTAAAATTGCAGTTATTTTTGATCGAACATGTAGAAATTTACTGTCAGAAAACTCCTTCTTAATATGATTATTCATATTATTAAAATCTGGATGATTGAGTGCCATCTTACTAGAAATTCATTTGGATGGATCATAGACTAACAGTTTTGAGAGTAGATCAAGACATTTTCATCCAAATTCCAATTCTTAGAATTTCAGTAAAGTTGCCTGAGGTAATAAATATAATTTCATGTACTATAGTGAATGAAAAACCCAAACTACCTTTATTTTTGTTGCCAAGAGGAACATTTACCACTTTCTTCTGATTAAGGCTGTAGCCTCTGAATGAATGTCTTTCTTTCTCATATAAATAGTTTTGCAGTTCTCTTTCCAAATCATTTGATTTTCCCTTTTGCCAAGAAGTGCTGTTTCTCTTATCCTAGAATTTGATATTTGCAGTAAATTCTCAAAACATTTTCAGAGTTGCTAACTGCAGTTAGAGTGTGTAGCTAGAGCTTACTGTTTAAAATGTAGTTGTGTTTTTTTTTTTTAAAGATTTATTTATGCATACAGAACTGGGGTACAGGCCAGAGGCTCAGGGGCGGCGAGAGGCTTCACCAGAGACAGAGTGGGGAACAGAACAAGCAGATCAACGCGGTACACTGCTGAGGGGAGCAGCGAGCAGGCCAGGAGAGGTCTGCCACGCCATGTGGTCACCTCTGGGGCAGGCGGGGATCTAACTCATGTGGAAGTGGCTTAAGCTTCTCAGTGCAGTGTTTTAACCCGCTGCGCCACCAGGGAGGGTCCCGTAGTTGTGTGTTTTTACCGTTATTTTCCTTTACGTTAGTTAACTTCTGCTGTAATTACAGGTGAACAGAATGGCAATAGGAATCCTGGCGGATTGCAGATTGGTGACTTGGTAAATATAGATCTTGACCTAGAAATTGTACAGTCTTTGCAGCATGGTCATGGAGGATGGACTGATGGCATGTTTGAAACTTTAACTACAACCGGAACTGTTTGTGGCATTGATGAAGATCATGACATCGTAGTACAGTATCCAAGTGGCAATAGGTTGGTGATATTTCTCACTTTTCAGTAATGTCAAGTAAAATTAGTACAGAGAGGAAAGAGCCTTTTAAAAGTAAAATAGTCTGATATAACAAAACAGTCCTTTAAGCTAGCTTTTATATAATAGTTAAAAATCCCAGACATGGTAAGGGTGAAGGTGGTGGGAAACAAATGATAAGGAAGAGAAAGCTTGTGCAAGACAGTGATA